CCTCGCCAGCCTCGCCCGCGCCATCGCCGCCCAGCAGCGCTGAGGCCAGCACCCCGGCCAAGCGATCGCGGCCAGAGGAGGCGGCCGGCCGAGGAGCGGCGGCTGCCGCGGCGGAGTGCTCCACCGCCCGCTTCGCCACGGCCCGCGCAACACCCGGCGCCGCCGCGTTCTTCGCTGCCGGGCGGCTGCTCGGCGCAGGGGCGCCAGCCCGCAAGCGCTGCATGCCCCAGCTGCGCCAGCCTGTCGCCCAGCTCGGGGCCCTCGAGGGCCCGCTCGAGGTCCGCGACCTCGTCGTCCAGCGGGTTCCCGCCGGGAGCCCCTGCGCGCGAGCCCGGGCCCGGGGGGCCGCGGCGCCATTTGGCCGGCGGGGGCCCCTCCGCGGCGGGACCCTCCTCCTCCGGGGGCGGGTCCAACGGCGGAAGAGGCGGCGGTCGCCGGCGGCCACTCTCGTCGGCCGAGCCAGCAGCGCTGCCAGCGGGGGTTGGCCAGCCTCCTCCTGCGGTGACTCGCAGGCCGCCGGTCTGCTGCGGCGCCAGCACGAGGCCCTCCTTCACCGTCTCCAGGTCGAGCGCGTCGAGGTGCTCGACCCCGCCGGCGCTGGCCGGGCACTCCGCGTCGCAGCGCTCCTGCGCGTAGCCGTGAAGGTGGAAGAGCGTGCCGCGGGGGCGCCCGCCCTGCTGGCCGACCGCCTGCGCGAACCAGGCGAAGTAGCCGTCGCTCGCCCCCACGTGCCGGCCCTGGACGAAGCGCACGGCGGCAGCGTGGTCGCCCTCGTACAAATCCTGGTCGTACGCGACCTCGACGCACAGCAGCTCCACCCCCTGCGCCTGGCCAGCCCCGTCGCGGACCTGCGCCAGCAGGTGGTCGCCGGGCCCGAACGCCAGCTCCCCCAGCAGCTCGCCGTTCGACCGCGCATCGAACCAGGCGCCGCGGGGGAACGGCCATGCGGGCGCCCCCCTGCGCATCCGGCGCGCCAGCTCTCAGCAGCGCCGAGACCGAGGAGCGCCCTCGGCGCGATCGCCCGCCGCGGCCCCAGGGCAGAGAAGGGACCGCGGCGGGAGTGGGTGGCCCGCAACCCCGAGAAGCGGCCAGCACAGCCTGCGGCTGTCGCTGGCTGGCCGCGGGCCACATCCACCTCGCCACCAGCCCAGTGGCACTTGGGCTGCGGGGTTTAACGTGGTTAAACGTGTTTAAAACTGCGGGCATGACTGCAGGGTTTTAACGTGTTTTAAACGGCGGGCTCGTTTCGGAAGGAGGAGCCGCATAAGCCCCCTTGTAAGGCATATGCATATATATACATGTATATATGTATATATATATACATACATGTATATATATATATATATATATATATATATATATATTATGTGTGAATATATACGCACACACATATATGTATATATACATATATATTCATGCATGCGTGTATTATATATTTGGACACATGTATATATATATACATAGACATGTGACGTTTGAGCACTTTCATCAGCTGCATCACTTAATGGTTAACCGAAATGTTGCACATATGCGTAATATATATATATATATATATATATATATATATATGTGTGTGCGTGCACATACACTTGTACATGTTATACATACACACGCGCACACACACGCAATCGGCGCCCCGAGGGCCACATTCAGCCGCACTTGATTTCATCCCCCTTGTTTTTCCCCCCGCCTCTGTAAAATTAGCGGGGGCGAACCGGAGCGAACGCGAACGCACCCGCGGGAGCCGCTGGGGCCGTAGAGTCCCACGAAACGTGCGATGAGTGCGCCGAAATGGCCAGGGGAAACCTGCGAAGGCACCTCCAGGACCTCCAGGGGCTGAATGTGGGGCCACGTTATGGGGCACGGAACGTGTGATGGAGCCTACCGGATGAGCAGGGGACGCATGCATGCGGAACTTCCCATGGTCCAAGAACGGCAAAATCTGCGCGCGTTTGTTCGAGTGAGCCGTCCGTGTATCATACACGGAACGCGCCCTGCTCGTCCCAAAGCAAATAATCATATATATATATATATATATATATATATATATATCACAGTCGTGCCAGAAAACATCCTGCTGTTGCTCGCGGCAGCCAGGCCGCCATCCAACACTGAGCAGTGAATCGCACGCGACCTTACACGTACAGGCGTTCCAGAACACTAAAATGACAAGAAAGACCAAGTGTCGATTCGCAACCACGCGAACTTCAGGCCTCAAACCATCGTTCGAACGCACAGACACGGAGGTATCAACCAATGCTCATGTCGCACACCGCCGTTCCTGCTCACAAAAGTGGGAGATCAAACAGAAAATCAAGGAGGATACCGCCGTCCGAGTTCATTGAGATGGGAAGCGCAAGCAAAAAAAAGGGCACAAACGTCTGGCTCGGCATTCACAAATTACAAAACCAAGCTAAAAACCATTCGAATACGAATAATCGTAGAGTTTGAGACATATAGGAATCGTAGATTGGCCCATTTGGAAGGAAAGGCGCAGTCCTGACGAAATGGCGCCCCTGGGTGGGCGAAGTGGACATACTCACATCTCTAGCGAGACGCCCGGCTGAGCATACGAACACTTCTGGTGGCGCGACAGGGAGTTATTGATAAGGAAGAAGGATGGGGAAGGCCCCGAAGTCCCCGAAGGACTCCAGCGATAACAAATATCACGGCAAAGCAACCTAACAGCGATGTGTAGGAGCATACCTGGAAGCATTCCCCTTGAGATTCAGATGAGAATCCTGTTGTAGAATTCTGCTGTTCTCGCAGTCGTAGTCGCATTCGCGATGGCAGTCGCAGTGGCAACGGCAGTCGCAGTCACAGCCTCAGCCTGCCTCAGCCTCAGCCTCAGCCTGCCTCAGCCTCAGCCTCAGCCTGCTTCAGCCTCAGCCTCAGTCTGCCTTCAGCCTCGGCCTCAGCCTCAGCCTGCCTCAGCCTCAGCCTGCATCAGCCTCAGCCTCAGCCTCAGCCTGCCTCAGCTCAGCCTGCCTCAGCCTCAGCCTCAGCCTCAGCCTCAGCCTGCTCAGCCTCAGCCTCAGCCTCAGCCTCAGCCTGCCTCAGCCTCAGCCTCAGCCTCAGCCTCAGCCTCAGCCTCAGCCTCAGCCTGCCTCAGCCTCAGCCAGCCTCAGCCTCAGCCTGCCTCAGCCTCAGCCTCAGCCTCAGCCTCAGCCTCCTGCCTCAGCCTCAGCCTCAGCCTCAGCCTCAGCCTCAGCCTCAGCCTGCCTCAGCCTCAGCCTCAGCCTGCTTCAGCCTCAGCCTCAGTCTGCCTTCAGCCTCGGCCTCAGCCTCAGCCTGCCTCAGCCTCAGCCTGCATCAGCCTCAGCCTCAGCCTCAGCCTGCCTCAGCATCAGCCTGCCTCAGCCTCAGCCTCAGCCTGCCTCAGCCTCAGCCTCAGCCTGCTTCAGCCTCAGCCTCAGTCTGCCTTCAGCCTCGGCCTCAGCCTCAGCCTGCCTCAGCCTCAGCCTGCATCAGCCTCAGCCTCAGCCTCAGCCTGCCTCAGCATCAGCCTGCCTCAGCCTCAGCCTCAGCCTGCCTCAGCCTCAGCCTCAGCCTGCCTCAGCCTCAGCCTCAGCCTGCTTCAGCCTCAGCCTCAGTCTGCCTTCAGCCTCGGCCTCAGCCTCAGCCTGCCTCAGCCTCAGCCCTCAGCCTCAGCCTCAGCCTCAGCCTCAGCCTCAGCCTGCCTCAGCATCAGCCTGCCTCAGCCTCAGCCTCAGCCTGCCTCAGCCTCAGCCTCAGCCTGCTTCAGCCTCAGCCTCAGTCTGCCTTCAGCCTCGGCCTCAGCCTCAGCCTCAGCCTCAGCCTCAGCCTGCATCAGCCTCAGCCTCAGCCTCAGCCTGCCTCAGCCTCAGCCTGCCTCAGCCTCAGCCTCAGCCTCAGCCTCAGCCTCAGCCTCAGCCTGCTTCAGCCTCAGTCTCAGTCTGCCTTCAGCCTCGGCCTCAGCCTCAGCCTGCCTCAGCCTCAGCCTGCATCAGCCTCAGCCTCAGCCTCAGCCTGCCTCAGCATCAGCCTGCCTCAGCCTCAGCCTCAGCCTGCCTCAGCCTCAGCCTCAGCCTGCTTCAGCCTCAGCCTCAGTCTGCCTTCAGCCTCGGCCTCAGCCTCAGCCTGCCTCAGCCTCAGCCTGCCTCAGCCTCAGCATCAGCCTGCCTCAGCATTCAAAATGTGGCCCGGGAATGGAGTTCTGGGAACTCGAAGAACACGAAGTGGCCTACAGTTGGCTCCAGGCATTCAAAATCATGCCCAAGAATGGAGTTCTGGGATCTCGAAGACCACGAAGTGGCCTACAGTTGGCTCCGGGCATTCAAAATGTGGCCCGGGAATGGAGTTCTGGGAGCTCGAAGACCACCGAAGTGGCCTAAAATTGGCTCCGGGCATTCAAAATGTGGCCCGGGAATGGAGTTCTGGGAACTCGAAGACCACGAAGTGGCCTACAGTTGGCTCCGGGCATTCAGAATGCGGCCTGGGAGTGGAGTTCTGGGACCTCGAAGACCACGAAGTGTGTAACTGTTGGCTAAACAAAATCCCCGGCACCCTCCCCCGGATCGCGCCCAGACCCCCCTGGGGCGTCATGATGCTCTCTTTTGACCCTACTAGAAACCTATCAGTCTTCGCTGTTAGGTAGTTACACTCATTACATCCTTGCGGAAGAAAGTCCTGAATAGCTGTTCACAGTAACGCGAAGAGGGGGCAACGATGGGGGGCGACGATGGGGGTCCACGATGGGAAGCAACGATCGGGAGCAACAGTGGGGGGCAACGATGGGGGGCAACGCGGGAGGACAACAATGGGGGGCAACGATTGTGAGACAACGATGGGGGGCCAACGGTGGGCCACCGATTTCAGGGACCAGCGTTCATCACCAGGCGTTAGAAACAGTGGACCAAACCCACTTATACAAACTATTCAAGAAAACATCAGGCATGCTCGAGCCCCGCCAAGACGGGGGCCTCTACTCTTAGCGGCCTCGGGGCCCTCCACCCCCTGAGAGGGGGCCGGGTCTCGTCCTGCCGGGACGGGTCGCGCACCTTGACCTTCCGCCACGCCTGCGGCCATCGGAGGGGGAAAAGGTGGGGCCTCTTCTGTCCTGTTCCTCCTCCCTCCTCTTCCTCCTCCTCCTCCTCCTCCTCCTCCTGTTCCTCCTCGTCCTCCTCCTCCTCCTCCTCGTCCTCCTCCTCCTCGCCTTCCTCCTCCTCCTCCTCCTCCTCCTCCCCCTTCCGTTCCTCCTCCTCCTCCTCCTCCTCCTCCACCTCATCCACCGCCTCCTGCTCTTCCCTTCCCGTGCACGCGCATGAAGGGGCAGCATCACAGGAAATCCACCCCAAGACGACAGGGAAAGGTGACCTTGAACTCTCTTTTATGATGACGAATAATCCGAACAGGTCGTAGCATCAGGTAGCTGATAGCAGGTATCGGGCAGTAGTAACAATCGCAGTTGCAGTCGTAAGGGTTGCGCTCGTCATTGCAACTGTAACTGTAGCATTCGTAGAGATGCGAGCGCGAGCGAGCGAGCGAGCGCGCCCCAATTCGTCGGAGACGGGCCCCAATTCACGGGAGGGCGGCAGGCTGCACGCAAGCAGGCGGGCCCGCCCTACGGCAGCTGATAGACAAGACATCGTGCATGTAGCCTCGACCGCTCCTTCTGCTGCTGCAGCTGCTGGTCTGGAGACAACTGAAACCGTCCAGGGGGGAGGAAGGACGCACGAGGGCAGACAGGGACGCACGACGAGCGGGGACGAGAGGCCGAGGAAAGAGAAGGGGCGACGAACGACGAGGGGGACGACGGAAAACACGAGTGGGGTTACCTGCGCGGCTGCTTTGCGCAGTGCAAAACGAAAATGGAGCCGCAATGGCTCCTGCAACTATTGCAATATTGCAACAGCCAGTCTGGATACAGCTAAGACCGTCTGGGGGAAGGGAGGACGCACGAGGGCAGAGAGGGACGCACGACGAGCGGGAACGAGAAGCCGAGGAACAGGAAAGGGAAGGACGAACGACGAGGGTGACGACGGAGGACACGCGAGCGGGGTTACCTGCGCGGTTGCATGCGCTGAGAAAAAAAACAAAAAAGGAACCCGATGGCTCCTGCTAGAAATGCAACAGCCGTTGCGTATACAACTAAGACCGTATGAAAGCGCATAGGGACGCACGACACGCGGGGACGAGGAACCGAGAAAAGGAGTGGGAGGGACGAGCGACGAGACTGGCGACGGAAGACACGCGAGCGGGATTACGTGCGCGGTTGCTTGCGCAATGACCGTGTGCAATGCTCAGCGCGCGGTGAAACATGATTCAAATGTGTCCCATTCCTCTGGCCCCTGTGCCGTGTCCATCCACATGTTTCGCACATGTCGACGACGCAATCCGTCCATCTTCTGGCCGGACGGCCGATGCGGTCCCTTGTGCTCTGAGTGCGGCCGGGGCTCCAGAACAGCACCTTGCATGACAAATTGTGCACGTCCGTGGACAAGATCTTTCCAACAAGCTTTCATTTTCGAGCCCGAAATTGCGCAATCCAATCCAAAATCCCAGTATCCCCCAATCGTTGTTCAATGTCTCGTGTTGTAAGTTGACTCCACTCTACCCGCGTCTCGACGTCCTCTCCTTTGCAATCGGAGTCTGAGCCGCACGGCGGCGAATGGTCTCGTTCAGTTGGTATTTTCCGTCTGCAGAACCTAAGACGAGTCGCGGCATCTGGTGTTGGGTGTTCACTAGCTTTCGCTCCATCTCGGCCGTCAAAGTCCAGGAGGCTGCGCCGTGCAGAGCGCAGTGGGTAACCACGGAATCAATCAACAGGAACCTCGCAGGCAACGTGAAACTTGTGTTCGTGAGCTCGTCCTTGAACACTAAAAAACTGCCTCCACGCAGAGTGTAGCTGGTTGTCCAATCCGACGCCGTGCGTGTCCTGAAAACAAGCTTTCCTGCCCAAATACATGGTTGCATCGTCACGCTGCAGCAACTGGATCTGCATTCCCCTAAGCGATATGTGGCTGTGGGCTGCCTCTCCTCTCCTAGCCCGTACATTCGTCAGCACCGTGGGTGTGTCCACATGCAGCGATAACCCGCAGCCCTCGCACTCGGAAGTCACGTCTGCCAGCACTCGTTTTAAACCAGGGGGTACATTGCTTACCAACAGCACGTCGTCGCCGAGAAAAAAAAACCCAAACAACCTCCCGCCCAATGTTTGATCAGCGGCCGGAACATGAACTCTGAGACTGCGCTGAAGAGCACCAGGCTCAGAAGGCCCCCCTGCTTGAAACCTCTCTCTCCTGATGCAAAACTCGCGGCTAACTTTGTCGAGCTGCACCGTGCCCATCTGCGAGGCATGCAAGTTTGGAAAAAGTGCAACGTAGGCGCCTGGTACGCCCTGGTGAACGAGCACCGTCCAGATGCTGTCATGCGAAAACGTGTCAAACGTTTTCTTAAAGTCCGAAGCGGTTGTCCAAAGAGTTCCCCCTCGCTCATCACATGGCTCATGAAGCAACATGCATGCGAGCAGATGGTCCTCCGTGCTGTATTGCGGACGAAACTCCGCCTGGTCAGCAGATTGCGCTGCGTCTGAAATAAACGTCAAGCGCTCTCGGAGCAGCTGGCTGAAAAACTTGTTCAATAGTGGTATGATTGTAATCGGGCGGTAATTTGAAGGTAGGCGTGGCTCCCCGCGTGAAAAAAAAAACTGCTACCGAATATTTTATGGCGTGGGGGCGTTCGGCTCAACGATATCAATGCACACGATCCCAATCATCGCGACAAGGGCCTCGCCACCTTCTTTCAACATTTCGCTCTTCATGCCCGCGCGATCCTCTCTGCCATGCTTGTGTTGCCTCCGAGCAAGTGAAAAGAGGTATCCGCTCGCCTTCAGCTGCCTTCAATAAGGATTGCGGCCGCGTTGCCCAGTAGAGCTCCTCGCAAAACTCGGCGAAGACATGAGCAATGGCTTGTCTATCCCGGTGTATATTCCTGGCAGTGTCAACCGCTTCTGTGATCAGAATCCATTTTCTTATCGCCATCGTCCGCGGAATATGTTTGATCCCCTCGAACTCCACCAGCCTTCTGCCAATTCGTTGTCTCTGTAGCTGCCTCCGTTGTCCACGAAATTCTCTTCAGACGGCTGTTTCTTCAGACGTTTGCTGCGGAGACAGCTTCTTTGATCAAATATCAACTTGTCCACTAAATCGTGAAATGCCGCCCCCCTGCCCGACTTGTGCGTATCTGGTGCTGTTTCTTTGGCTGAGTCCCGGAACGCGGCTCCCAAGTCGCTGCGCCTGCCGTCCACGCTGCCAAATTGCAGCGCAAGGTCAGCCATCTTCCAAGTGAGCTGGTCCCGGAAAGCGGCTTGGTGGTGCTCAACATGTTTCTGCACCCGCTTGCTGGCCACATTCCCCGTCTCGACAACGGGAAGCAGTCTAACAATATCCCGGACAGCACGGTGGTCCGACCCAAGGTCTAAGGATCTTGTCGATTGCGCGTCTGTCAGCGAGGAGTGCGGGCAACGACTGGTGAGTATATAATCCACTTGTTCTGATATCGTGTCTTTCCCCACAACTATTACGCGATTTGCTTCCGACTTTTGAAACTGAATGTTCGCCAAAATCAAGCCCATAATTCTTGCCCAATGTTTGAAGAGCCGGCCTCTGCAAGGAGGAGGAGGAGGAGGAGGAGGAAAGGGAAGAGGAAAGTGAGGAGGAGGAGGAGGAGGAGGAGGAGGAAAGGGAGGAGGAGGGGGACGACGACGACGACGACGACGACGACGACGACGACGACGACGACGACGACGACGACGACGACGACGACGACGACGACGAAGATTGCACCTCTCCGGTACACATTCGCCGACGGTGGCCCCTATCGTCTTCCTCGGGCTCGCCCACCTCTGCTGTAACAACACAGCCACTCGTTTGGAATTCTCCACCCATCCACTTCCGATGAAGATGTGCACGCCTTCCGTTTGCCAATGCTCCAACTTCTGTTCCTTTCGTGTTTCACGAATCGGAACGACGCCCCAAAATGATCCGCGAAGATCTGGCAACATCTCCGTTACCCCTCCGACTGATTTCACTGACCTAGCACTATTTGAAACATGATCGACCCACGAACCCGGAAAGGAATATAGAAATGTAAGGCATGGCAACGCTTCAAAAACACCTGATTGGGCGACGGGCAAATGCAATGCTGAATGTTTCGATTTTGATGTACCGTGCCGAGGCCTGTGCTGTGCTGCGCCGTGCTGATGCTGAACTGCGATGTGCCATGCCGCGAATGTGCTCTATAGCGTTGTGGATCGAGTCTTCCTTTGCACCCGATTCCTGACCGAACTGATCTGGATCTTAAGCTCGAGCTGCCTCAGCACATAGTAGCTGCCCAAGAGCTAATCGACAGGGGAACATGACAGGAGGACGCGCCGCGGAACGTCCCAAGGGACGCGCCAGGCGACGTGCCAAGGGACGTGCCACGAAGACGCACCGCGGGACGTGCCGAGGGGACGCGCTACGGAAAGTGCCAATGGACGTGCCAATGGACGTGCCAGGAGACGCGCCGCGCGACGTGCCAGGGGGACTCGCCACAGGACGCGCCACGGAACGTGCCAGGTTGCAATGCTGAGTGTATCGATCTTGATGTACCGTGCCGAGGCCTGTGCTGTGCTGCGCTGTGCTGAACTGCGATGTGCCATGCCGCGAATGTTCTCTATAGCGTTGTGGATCGAGTCCTCCTTTGCACCCGATTCCTGACCGAACTGATCTGGATCTTAAGCTCGAGCTGCCTCAGCACATAGTAGCTGCCCCAGAGCTAATGGACAGGGGGGCATGCCAGGAGGACGCACCGCGGAACGTCCCAAGGGACGCGCCAAGCGACGTGCCAGGGGACGTGCCACGGGGACGCACCGCGGGACGTGCCGAGGGGACGCGCTACGGAACGTGCCAATGGAAATGCACCGCGCGACGTGCCAGGGGGACTCGCCACGGGACGCTCCGCGGAACGTTCCAAGCAACATGCCAGACTGCAATGCTAGGGGTATCGATATTGATGTACCGTGCCGAGGGCTGTG